GTATTGTTACTCGGAACAATAGAGTAAACATGATAATTATTTTAATTGAGTCTGCAGGGAATTTGCTTTAAAACAATATAAAGAAACCAAAAGAATCGCGACGACCAAATCTACAGTAATATGAGCGTATGACCTAGGTACTATGGGTACGTTGGCAGGCTTTGACGGCTCCGTGCCGGGGTGACTTAGCAATTAATTACAGCGCTAAAGGCCGCGAGTACGAATCCCACACGGAACAAGTATTTTTATGGCCTACAAGTAATTGTTTCGGTTATGGATGTTTGTACTTGTGCAATTTATCCCTATCCTAGTGTGGGAGTTACGTTTTAAGAGAAAAACTACTAAACGAAAGCAAAAATAAAAAATACATCATAATTTGTAACTTTTTTGATGCTGACACATCAGTTGACATAGATCTAATATATTCCTCATCTTCATTATCCCGTCTTCTACCGAACAAAGAGCTCTCCCGATGTAAAGATTTGCTATCACCGGTCAGGATATTTTTTCTTCCATCAACGAGATGAGGTTAATTCTTGCGGCTAATTTCCACTATGGTACACTGTGACAAAACTCAAAATTCCATTAACAGCCACATCATCTCGACGGTTGGATGGAATGGATTGCCATTTCCATACTTATTACAAGGAATTTCTTACCAAGCACGACCACATTGTGGAATTTACTGTAGCCAGCAGTTTTTTTTAAACCGATACGACTTAGGGACATTCAAGAAAAGTGCTTACTCCTTTCCAAAAGGCCGACAAGGCACCTGCGATTCTTCCGGTGTTGCAGGTGGTTATGAGCGGCGATGATCACTTAACTGTGAGCCTAATGATCGTTTGCCTCATCTTCTATAAAAAGATGTCATGTTGGAGGGCTTGAGATTGTTTTAACATTTCCCACAGTCGCCTCTTACGATAATTGCAGCAAGAACTGAGAACTCGGCGTCGCAGTGGTAGCGGTGCGATTTTAATTACTAACGGGGCAAGTCACATCAAGTCAATTTAAAAAAGACGGAACAGGCACCAGAAAAACTATTAACATAAACGAGTGGTTTAAAATTAAAAATTTTGTACAACCGACTTCAATATAAATTATTAAGGATAACTTAAAAACTACTGATCAGACCTTGATCAAATTTATATGGGACTACGTGAGAAGCACCAGCTTTCAAATAAAGAATTATCAAAATTGGTTCACGTAGAAAAAAGTTATGAGGTAACGTATAAAAAAACACAGTCGAATTGAGTAGAGCCTTTATGAAGTCGGTTAAATGTAAATATCTGAGTCGTTCGTGGATGTGTTCCGGGACATCCGGGAATTGTTGGAAATACATGATCTGACAAGCGCATACGGGGGAGGGTAGCTTATATTTTTATATTAATAAAAAAAGAAAAGTATTTAGCAGATAGATAATATCTTTATAGGTGAGCCGCAGAGACCATTGTCAGTATTTTATGCGCTCGTTCAATCAACCTGACTAATACAAACATTCGCGAGGACAACTTGTGGCCATTACCAGTTTAATTGCTTTTTCTTCTCTTAACCTCCATTATAAAGGCACACCTAAAATGTTCAAATAATTGTGAACAACAACCGACTATGCGTGGGAGTATGACAGGTTGCTTTCTATGTCGATTTCGTTTTTTTTTTACAAAAAATATTTTCTCGTAAAAGTCGTGGTAAAGACGAGTCCATTTACCGTTAATCGTAAAAGTGAAGATTGACAATAGGTCAAGTAAAAACAAGTTCTCAAACGACAACAAGTTAGTCAATTAAGTGGGTTATTAGAACAGCCAACTATGCGACCAATATGCAAAATATTTAAAAACGTGGGCAGTGAAATATTGTTGCGTTGTCAAAACTCATTATAATGATAATTTGTATGGAGTAAGCTTTGTATAACTGTTATATTTAATGAAGACCACGTGACTTAGTAACTGGTGTTTTAAAAAAAATCCTCCAGACGAAATTTCGGTCATAGCGTTAATAATGACTGACAGATGCTAGCCATCTGCGCTGGACAAAATTATGGTACCCGATTGTATGTGTGTGTGTGTGTGTGTACACATATACAATCGGGTGTGTACGTGTGTACGTGCAATCTCAATTCTCTCACTCTCATAGTCCGCAGGGATCGGTTTCGACACGACCGGAGAGAGATCAGGAGCAGGACCAATGGCATTACGTGCTTTCCAAATACTGCCAACTTCCCGACTCCAGCCTGCTACTGAGAATTTCTTGACACTAAAACCCAATAACTAATTTTAACCCTAATTCGAAGTCGGGACCTCATTATCAGTAACTGCGTTTACGACAACAAGACCAACGATGTAGTGAATTTACACTACTCATTGATTGGTGATTGTTGTACCTGTTTCTTAAGACATAGCGAATTTGTCTGTATAATCCAACTGGTGGTAGTATAAATAATCATTACCATTATTTTCTACATGGTAGAGCCATGCTGCAGCAATATTTGTAGTATAGTTGTAGCACGAAGGGGTCGGCTCGACCGGGGAAGGACCACGCTCTCACATAATACCAGCCAAAAATAGCAGCTTAACACTGCTGTATTTCATATGGTGAGTGTAGAGAACCGGAGACCCTTTTTACTGGAAAACAGGCATTCCGTCTTAGTCCTCACGGGTGACAATGCATCTGCATTTTGATTCTTTATTGAGGATAGATGTAGATGTCTATGGGTCACAGCAACCACTTACCATCAGGTGGACTGTGTGCTCGTTTATCACCTGATTCTATAAAAACTACTAGCCTGCATGCCATTCTACTGGTGGACATTAGTATCTTCCAGAGCTTAAATATCTTAAAAATTTATTTGCTTATATCCACGTAATAAAATAAAATGGTGTCAAATCTTGTTTAAAAAGCACCTCCCGCAATCACTAAATTCCATGCACTATCCCCGTCACAACTAATTCCAGCACCACTACTCCTAACTCCGCTACACTAGGAAAGACACGCCGCCTTTACACAGGGCTTCCTCAGGTGAAGTAGACTGCGGTGTCTGATCGCTTAGCGGTTTTTAAGATCTTTAATAAGTATAATGGATTTCCGCATAGTAACGCCTGATTCTATTATCTTCCAGAGCCTATGCAATACAAAAATTACTAGTTTTCCGCTATGAGAGATTATTGTAATTTTTCAAATATTTTCTTTAATCATTCGTACTTTCAACTAGTGGTGCCGGCATAAGAGAATCCACTATCCTATATTACTTACTCTTACTGACTTAGCCCGTGGATTTCATAAGAGGGACAAAGGAAAATAAAACAGGAACAGCATCAATAAAATAGGAGCATCTCCCTGATGACAACCAAAACATAATAAAAACTGTTGTCGCCAACCCGCATGCCACACAAGGCCGTCTATGTGGAGGCTTATATTCAGTAGGAATGTATACCTAATTGATGATGTAAATACCTAATAAAAATAGTTTTTCAACATAATGGAAGTCTGCTTTTTAATATCAAAGTGTCAATGTCGCTAATAATTCTCCTTATGGTAGCTGTTAAATGTGACCAATATTATGTTATATACTAATCTATGTATATGATACTAGCTGGTACCCGGCGCGTTGCAGCCGCAGAAGAAATAATTACGGAAATATCTTTTAAATTTGGAAGAGTTATTTTGTTTAATTGGGAATGAAAAAAATTCATTGAAGTCAAATGATATATAACTTTAAAATAAATTTGTCTGTAACATACGCGCGCCACCTATTGTAAGTTAATTGTACTATGACTATAACCTTCGCGGAAGTACATGCAATATATTGACAAAGTTTTACTGCAATCTGATGAACGGTATGGCAGCGCATAAAATACGAAAAAACAAATATAAATTTTTATATATTAGATTTCATTTTGTTGTCATCTGGAACCATAATTGTTTTTATAAAAATGAAGTAACAAACGAATTTACGGTTCACCTGATGGTAACTGGCTATTACAGTCCATGGACCTGCAACTAACTTTAAACAAAGAAAGCTACTAATGCGTTGTCACCCCTGAGGACTGAGGACTAAGATGAAACGCCTCACATCACATGATCATACTAACTCACCATACCATTCTGACCGGAACACGCAATACATTAAAGAAAGTACGTATGAGATGCGCAGTCCTCCTGAGAACTACGATGAAATGAATCACAAACTTTAATTATACTGGCGCTCTTACCATTACAACAGGAATACTAGTCGATGCTCTGTTACTTAGCGGCATATACAACATGTAACAAAAAACCTGTGGTTCCCGTTAAATACGTTATCAAGATCAGTATTCAAACCTATAGAAATAATTTGTTTTTAAAAAATCGACCATATTTTTTATTTTATTTTATTAATTTTTTTTAAATTTTATGTGGTTTGTTACCTCTTACTGACACTAGCCGATGCTAAAGCTAAGTAAAGCGGGGTCTTTGACAACCCTCTTACTCCCCAGACAATGCAGAGGTAATAAAACCACATACAATTTGCATACAATATTTTCTTTTAAATATCATAAAAAAAAATTGTTCGAGTTTTTAAAAAAAAGTTATTTCTATACGTTTGAATAATGATCCTGATAACGTACTTAACGGGAACCACAGGGTTTTTGTTACGTATTGTATATACGTAAAAGATGTATATCTACATCTCCTACGTATATCCGTAAGAGTTGTATACGTACATTTATTACGTATATGTGAAACAGTAAAAAAGCCCTTTCAAAAAGTAAAATGCCACTGTCACAATTATGTTTACAATGAAACACAGAAAAACACAAAGACTTTTGATTGTAATGATAAAATATACATATTATTTACATTGTATGCAACTAGGTTAAATTGTTGAGATCTGTAAAAATTAAGCGAGTTTTCTCTCACTCGGTTGCTGATCTAACCGATCTTTCCACCACAATAGCAAATTTTCATTTCAGATACGCTCAGAACTTTTATAATCGAAAATAATAACCAATATGTTTCTTTTTCAGAGGAAGACTGGGCAGAGAGTACAGCTTATATGATGCACGAGGCCTTTGAAACGTCACCGCCTCGCCGAGCGCAGTCTCCACATCACGCGTCCCCGCCACGATGCACTTCGCCCCCACGTCGTACTTTATCCCCGCGAAACTACGACCGTGGCCCCGTCTACAACGACGACTTTACCGAACCCTACCGTGACCAACTCGCTCCCTTTAGAGACGCCACTTTTGAACGGAGATTCCGTCACGAGTCTCTCGAACGAGTCAGCAAAGACAAACCAGACAAGTTTACTGAAGAAGTCCCTAACTATAGACGTAGATATATTGCTGACACCAAACCTTCTAATCGGAGTATAGACAGAGTAGAGGATCGCCGCTTTGGCAAACTCCAACGAGGAGCAAGTGAAGGTAGCCTTAAGCTCGCTGAGACGTCGCCCAAAGACCGTTTCAACGTCGCAAAGGAGAAATTCAAGAATTTGGAGAGGGAGAGATTTAATCAAGAACTAGAACAGCATATGGCCATACGGAGAAACATGCTAGAAAGAAACAGTCGCTCGACTTCTTCCCCGGAGGAAGAAAGACGTGACGAGCGTCAAGAGCGTCACCGAGAATTAAGCTCCCGGAGAGAACCTGACCGTTCCCATCGGGATTTAGAACGTACCCACAGAGAGCCGGAGCGGCGCAAGGACATTGAACGCGTCCGTGATGTTGATACGACAGACATGGGCCACAGGGAAATAGAAAGACTCCCGCGCGTCGGTCGAAAGCGCGATGATTTGAAGCGATACGAATATGGCACAGAGGAGTATTTAAACAGGATCGAGCCCAAGCCGCACAGAGATGAATTCGATCGATACAGAGAAAGGAGAGAATTAGACCGGCGTATAGAAGAAGATGAGATCATTGAACCCGTCATAGAAGACAGGCGAAGGGAATGGACGGACAGGCAACGTGCGTTCAGTCGCTCACGTTTGCTGGACGAGCAGCGCCAATCATACCCTGAAGGCGACAGAGACAGATACTACGATAGAGAATATAGAGACTTCCGTGACCTGACCGATCGGCAACCGACAAAGTTCCGCCACAGTTATGCGGAACCGATATCTAGAGGTCGCCTCGGTACCGTACGACCCTACTGAAATGCCATACTAGATCTATATATACCTCCAAATGATTGACAACTGGCCAGATTTCACCAAGCTCATAACTGCCTGTATTCTGTGTGAGAATCAATTATAAAGTTTGAGAGTAACTGGCATAGTTACCACATGGAACTAATGCCTGCACTGCGTGCGGAACCATAAATACTCCGCTTGCCATAAAGTGTTATAATCTTTGTTTCACAATTGAAAAGATAGTTAGTTTCTATAGTCATTGATTGTTTTACATGTATATTATGTTCAGTTTTACTTATTAATTATAAAGATTAATATTAAACAAGCCTCTTTTATTATCACACACTGTGCTAATATAAGATGGTGCAATATTTAAAAAAAAATTCTTGTAGAACCTCTTAAGACAGAGATGTTAGTAAAAGCGTCTAAGTGTATAAAATCTGTTATTGAAAACTCTTTTTCAGACTTAAATTGTGAATATTTTTTAATTAACCTGTTTTAAAGTTTGACAAATGTTTGCCAAATTACATCTTACAAAAAACTGACATACAGTAGGTAGCATAAAAGACAAATGTTTTTGATATGAGATAGTAACTAAAATCTGTATACATATACTTTTAATTGTTAGGCTTAAAACTCACGAAGCGATATTTATTCACACCTGCAGCGACTGCGATTATATTTCAGAACTCACGAGGCCGCAACATAGATTATAAGTACAATATAAATTTTGTTCGGATTCCCGCCGGCGTGGAGGCAGCAAACTTGGCGGGAGATGGTCGCAAGTCTAGCGAACACAAGGCGGATTATTTACAATGGTACGATTACCAATAAAGACCACGAAGCCATTCGCTTGCGCCCTCCCCGGTTTACGATTGCAGAGTGCATGGGCACTGCGACCTTCACACGCTGCAGACATAAATCGCATCGTGAAATCTACTATAACTTTACATTAACATTTCTTATATTGCACGCATGTCGCGGTCCCGCTACCGCTGCTGGCTCGGGTAAATATCGTTCCATGAAATCCTAGCGTTACTATTATTACATTCAATACTCAAGAGGTCACTGAAATATATATTTGTAAATATAAATTATGTGAAAGTCCTAAGCAACCCATAATAAAGTAGAATATAAGGTGTGTACTATATGACAGATGTTCTTATATTATATTATGAAGAGATTAATTACTAACATAATTAATAATTAAGTAAAACAATTGTTATTCATTCTGAAACATTTATATTATTAAATCAAATATAACAGATGAGATTTTATGAGATAGTAAATAAGATAATTGATTGTATGCACGATTTTGTTTTATTTTATTTTAGATTTTTTTTTATATACCAGTGACAAAAGTTGGTCGTTCCATGGCTCGTAACGTTTTGACGATTACACTGCACTGTACTTGTGGGATGTTAATAAATAATTACTTTATTTCAATTATGACTTTCTATTTAGATAAAAAAACATGTTTTCTAGAATCAGAACTTGTAGGTACAACTGTGATTTAGCCAACCTCTAATTTTGCAATTAGGTACATTGCACTGTACTTGTGAAATATTAATAAACTAGCGATCCGCCCCGACTTCGCACGCGTGATTTCTGGATCGACAACAGCACCACCTACCGGGTCTAATTGTGAATCGAAACCATTCTCGAATCAACTTGATCACACACACAAAATTTGATTAAAATCGGTCCAGCCGTTTATGAGGCGTGCAATCACATATACACGGACAGAAGAATTATATATCTTCATAAAATCTTTATATATAAAAATTACGTGTCAGATTGTTTGTCCGCGATGAACTCCTAAATTACTGAATTGATTTTAATGAAATTTGGCACACTGTGTGCAGTTTGGTCCAACTTGAGAGATAGGATAGTTTTTATCCCGATAAGTGACCTTCAATATTTTTTTATTGCAAATTTAAAGATTTTTTATAAGTCAGTCGTCAGAAAGAGCAGAACAACGTCTGTCTGGTTAGCTGGTATATATATATATTGTATTATACATATAAACCTTTCTCTTAAACGGTCTGTTAATGAAAACCGCAACAAAATCCGTTGCCTAGTTTAAAAGAATCGTACGGTGGGAAGTTAATTTGTTTTATACTATTCCTCAGATGAAGTAAAAAAAGTTTTTTTACTTCATCTGAGTACTATTCAGACACCATTGGTCTATTTAGTAATTTCTAATTAATAAAAAGCATATGTTTTAGAATCGGCACTTGTAGGTACGAGTGTGATTAAGCCAAACTAATTTAGCAATATTTGATATAGTTACATAAATATTATGGAAAAACTACATTATTGCATACATGGCAGTTAAATTTTATTCTTTCGATATATTGATTTCACGCAAGCCTAGAATGTTTACTAAGCAAAATTGACAAGTGGTAAAATTAAAATTTTTGTTCAACCGACTTAAATACAAATAATTTATTGTATATGTGTATCGACCGATTTCGAGAAAATTTAAATAGGACTACCTGGGAAGTATATTATATATACCTTTAGAAACAAAAAAGAATTTTCCAAATCGATTGAGGCGTCTTCGAATAATCGGTGAACATACATAAAAAAAAGACTCAGACTAATTGAGAACCTCCTCCTTTTACATTTGGTTGAAAATGATCGCTTTAGATGTATGTATAAATGTAAGGCTCTTACATACTACCACCAAATTTATAAAATATAGAAAGATAAAAAAGAAAGATGAAAATACGGAAAGAAGAGAAGATATCATCATCATCCGGTCGCAAACAGTTTACTATTACTTACCACTAGACACAAGCCTCTTCCACAGTCTTTGTCTTTGTTCTGAGATATTAGTGCTGTTAGCACTTTGGGTTTTACAACTTCATCGGACTCAGTTATATAAAAAGGAAAAGGTGATGATGATGATGATCATTATGACGATTATGATTATCACAATTATGATTTGGTTCGTGACCAATCATTAAGCCTTCCACTCTATATGGGTTTCTGAGCTATCTGGCCGCCGTCCAAGTAGGAGTATGCAAACCTGGTTCCTAATCCTTTTATATCTGGTTATGTACGTGATAGAGTCAAGCTACAACTATTACAGTTGTAAAACGAACGAGTTGGCTTCACTGGGGAATCGGCTCTTGCAGAATATATGAAATAAAATAAAATAGTCTTTATTTGAAAAATGTTAACAAAAGCTATACAGGATTATTTTTCAAAGAGAAGCCAAATGTTAAACTTAAGTTCAAATATATAAATAATGATATACCGTTATTGCAGTTTTTGAAAATACAAAACACAGAGTCTTCTACTTTTATTTAAAATTATCCCAAATCGAATGTGATTTATAGGCAACAACGTTTTAGCCTACCAATCGATCCTTACGAATGTGTGCGTGCGGAGTAAAGTCAGTTAAATTAATGTATTACCACACATTTTGAATTTTAGAGATAAAAAGAGAATATAAATGTAACCTTCTCTGCAAATTTGGCCGGTTATTGCAATATAACCTTGTATATTAAAACTAGCCATCCGCACCGGCTTCGCACGGGTGATTTCTGGATCTCGACAACAGCGCCACCCACCGGGTTCAATTGTAAATCTAAACTATTCTTGAATCAATTTAATCACACACAAAATTTTATAAAAATCGGTCCGGCCGTTTGGGAGAAGTTCAGTCACATACACAGGGACAGAAGAATTATGTATACAAAGATAAGTAAAAATATTTAAAGGTAGAAATAAAATAAAATATTTAAAAAAACTGATTAAAATAAAAACTGATGAAAATGACACTCTCACTCTCTCGGACGTAGGCCTCCCCCAACTCCTTCCATTTCGCTCCGTATTCTTTGTAATTTTAAACCAATGCTTCCCCGCTTTTTCCACTTGAATGTCACACCATCTTTTCCTCACGCTTTAGCGTGGCCTCCCTCGTATTTTTCTTTTATTGGTTCCTATTGCGTTATCCTTTTAGCATAACTTTGGTTTTACAGTCTCCTTTTAAGTCCTGCCCATTTCCATTTTAAGCTTTCAATTCAACCCTCTCTATTATTACAGAGATTATGTCTGAATCCCGCGTGAGAGCCGTGGTAGTTCAGGAGAGCCGTGATAGCTCAGATGGTTAGCGCTCGCTGTAAGTTTCACAATACGCGAGCAACCCGGGTTCGTTCCCTGCTGGCACCAATGAAATTGTTAATTGCAATTTTAAGTGCTGATTTAGCACGTGCTCGGCGGTGTTGGAAAACATCGTAAGGAAACCTGCAGGTCTAAGAAATAAGAAAAAAAATTTCGAAGTCATGTGAAGTTCGCCAACACGCATTGAGGCAGCGCGGCGGACATTTCCTTGCCCTAATACCCTCTCAGAAATGAGAGGAGGCCTGTGCCCAGCAGAGTGGGACGTATATAGGCTGTAAAATTACTTTTATGTCTGAATCTGTATTTGTATGTTTGTTATTTGAGTTTTTTCTCGGATTTCTATTGCTAATTTTGTATGTTAGTCTAATAGTTAATTTACTACTTTCCATTTTCCTGCGATAAGGGGCTAGTTTTTTCGCATGAAAAAATTACCATATCCAAGATTTTTCCTCTATTAAGCAAACAGAAGACATTTATTTCAAGCTCTAAAACTTTTCTAAGATATATAGCATTTCTCCTGTTTAATTATTTTTTAGTGTAGTCTACAATAGTATATTTCATTACGAGTGCGGAAAGCCTGTTATTGCAAAGAGTTCCGAAAAATGTCTACCAGAGCCGAGGCGCAGCCGAAGGTGAGGGTTGACAGTCGTAACAAGTTGCAATGACGGTTCCGCACGTGTACTGAACAACTATTTTTAATACAGTTGCGAAAAAATGAAGCAATTTAATAAAGAACATTTTTGGAAAATGGCGCCAACCGTAAAACAATATAAGCAGAGATTTTTTTGTTTTCTTCACCCATTCTGGGTAGGCAAAGGGAATTATGCCCATACAGCCAAGTCTTCAGTAGAATTTTTTTATTGATATGAAATGAAAATTAAATTTAATGAGATGAAATGAAATTAAACCTAACCTAACTCATTGAATCAAATCATTAAATCTGATATTGAAACAAATTAGTAGCTTAATGATTTCTTATATTTACGCGAACACTACACATTTTTAAATAAAACTAATTTTACGGATTTTATCGCGTATATTAACTTATTTTTATATTCCCGACGTTTCGGGTGCTTTCCAGCACCCGTGGTCACGGGGGACTGAGTTGTTTGACGTCCTGCTGTCATAGTTAGCCCGGCTACCTTCAGTTTTTTAATATCAATTTTTGGTTCGATTTACGCAGAATGAGCTTACAGTATCTTGAAGTCTAGCAGTGGTATACTTGGGTTTGGATTTGATTTTATTAATTATGGGATCCCAAGCAGATGGCAGCACCCATCCATCTTCTCTATTGAAATTAGGATGTTTTTTAATTTCAATAGCCTCGCGAATCATCCTTGGGAGGAATCTAAATACACCACCTGCCAGCATATCACACACTTTCTCAATTTTAATACACAATGTCTCAACTTGAAGAGATTAGAACTGCACAGAACAGTTTGGAGGAATGTTTTTCAAAAAGGATGGCCGAACTGGAAGCACAGTTACACACGGGGGGACCCGCCAAGGACAAGGTTGCAAAGGTGGCTGAGGAGTTTCGAACCTTCCGTGAACTCATGTTTTCTATGCTTGGTATGCTCCGTAAACAAATTAATGAGTGCACCCATATGGTTGACGCTATTGAGACCAGGCACAGACGAAAGGCTCTCCTTTTCTTGGGTGTTGCTGAAGAGGAAAAGGAGGACTGTAAGGCTACAATACTTAGTATAATCCACAAAATGGAGTTGAAGGACATCACAGCATCCAGCATTAGTGTCTGTCACAGGATTGGAGTAGCCTCCAAAAATCGTCTCCGGCCAATCCTAGTACGATTTGTTAGCGTCGACTCCAGGTCATCAGTATGGAGGGCGAAGTCTAGGCTGAAAGGTTATCCAGTTTCAGTAAAGGAGTTCTTGACAAAGTCTCGGCAAATTGTTTTTGGCAAAGCGCGTCAGCATTACGGCATGCGTGCATGCTGGACCCAAGATGGAGTAATCGTAGTAAAAGTTGCAGATGGATCCCGGCATAAAGTCACCACCTTTGATGAGCTGATTACTCTTACGCAAAAACACCCTAAGACGGCTGCAGAATCCTCAACTGGAGACGTGCGCATAGTAGGAAGCGCTTTATCGTCGAAATCCAATTCAAAGCCACGTAAATAACTACGCATAATAGCGTTTTATTGTCATAATTC